CGGCTAGCGTTAACCCAGTTAGCCGCAAGAGTTGGGAAAGCAGAGCGCTTACACCTCGAGGTCTTCTTCAGCGTAAAAACACATAAAGAGGCCTGTCCATTTCGAGCCATTGTCACAGAAAAGGGAGCGTGGCAAAAGCAAGTTGCTTTCTATCTTCAAAAACAACTGTCCGCCCTAAGCATTAGAGACCCCTTCAGGGTTGCCAACTCTGAGGAGATAGTGGAATATCTCCGATTAGGGGGTCCTGAGAAGAGAACCGCTTTCAGCATTGACGTGGAGAATCTTTTTTACTCCTTGCCACACGACCAGCTACTGACCTCGGTGAAGGATTGTATAGAAGCTAATGGAGAGCTCGCTTTCCGAAGTTCCAGCGGAGTACCCATTGAGAGCTTTATGGAGCTTCTACAGTTCTACCTGAAGTCTATGATAGTTGGGTGGCGGGATGGGTGCTATCTGCAGAAGTCAGGAGTCTGTATCGGTTCCTGCGTTGCCCCAGTCCTTAGTGACATCTACTTGGGAGCAGTGGACTGTGTGATAGAAAGTGCGCTTGAAGGTAAAAATGTGAACAAGGTCGCCAGGTATGTTGACGACTTCCTGGTAATTCTTCAAGATGACGAACGTATGAACATACAAGTAGCAGACATTATGGAGACCTTTGCTGAGTACGGAGGCGGCCTTAAGTTTACATTTGAGGTGCCCAAAGAAAACATACTTCAGTACCTGGATCTTTCACTCCACCTGGGGGACACCCATGTTTGTTGGTCGTACAGCCCACGTTCCAAGAAAGCCATTCTAGACTACGGCTCGGCGCACTCAAAAATCATCAAGAGGGGCATAGCTCTAACGTGTCTGGGCTCGGCACTAAGGAAGTCTTGTCGCCATACTATGTCAGCCAGCTTCACCACGCAAGTAGAGAGGCTAACAAAAGCCGGCTATTCGTCAGCCCTACTGGTGGATGTGGCGAACGCTCTGGTCAAGAAGGCAAAAGGCTTCCAGTCCAACAAGACCAGTGTCAAGCAAACAAGGCCAGTTGTAATACCGTACCTTCACAGGATGTCCCATAATTTAAAGAACGTCGCAAGCCGCTATGGGGTCAGAGTAGTTTTTTCAGCACCACAAAAAATGAGCCAAATTTGCAATAGAGTGAATGCGCATGCTGAGGGTACCACAAAACCCACGTGCACCAAGAAGCATGCAAACGAATTCCTACCATGCGCTTCGGGCGTCGTGTATAAGATACCTCTTTCGTGTGGCAAGAGCTACATAGGCCAAACGGGCAGATGCCTCAATGACCGCCTCCGGGAGCATGATTACTCCTTGAAGGCTACAGTGGGCGGAAATCTTCCTCTCCATTGCAGGGAATGCACATGCAGACCATTATTCCGTGAGACCAACATCCTGGGGAAGAACAAAGACAAATTGACCCGCGAGGTATTGGAGGCCTTCTACATCCTTCGCGAGGACAGGAACTGTATTAGCGTTGAATCCGTTACACTAACAAACAAGGAAAGGAAATTCCTTGAACAAACAATGAAGGGCCCGCACGAGCCTGGATGAACTAGCCGCTATCATTCACGGGGCTGTGGCAGGTGCACGAGTCCGCGGCGGATTATTTAGGTGTTTTCTTTCTCTTCCATTTTTATTACTAAACGTAGTTGTGAGTAGCGCTCTTTTCTGTCTTGTCCTTCTTCCTCCTACCTTGTGCGCTAAATACCTCAATATGTTAGACTACCAACTAGCCCAAATGTCAACTTTACTGCAGTTTATTTCTTTTGCATCGGGCACTTCTCCTGTAAGCTTCAACCTTCCTTTCTCGGATCCATGTATCCTTGTTAACCTAATCGCCCGTTGTGTGTGTAGTGCCCGGGTGGCCTCTTGGCACATTCGAAGAGGTACCTGCCCAGTGGAACTCAGAGGTGTGTGCGGCTTCCTTGCTCCATCGACTGGGCATACGAGAAGGGTATGCCGTGTGCTGCGATCGGAATACTGGCGCCAGGAAAGATATTTCAGAGACTGCCTGCGAGTAGCCTGTGCTTCGAGTACTGGCAATGATGGACAAAAACGAAGATACTTCCGTAGGATGAGCAAGTCAGCGGGAGATGCTACGGAGTTCCTCTGGCAAAGCATTAGACCCCATCTACCAACCAAGAAAGACAAGGTTCCCTCCCAGGCGGGCAAGTTCACAATCCTAGGTGATGTTACGATTCCACCGGATGTTGGCAAGCGGTTGGAGGTAGGCCCTAAGTTTTGCTACGAGCCAGTCTTGAGCCCACCGGAGTTGGTCACACTAGCCAAGAAAGTAGCATACCGGACAGTAGAGGAGGACCGACCAAGGTGCATCTCTGAGTGCGTGGATAACCTTCAGGTTCCGCAAAAAAGAGGACCAGTGGGACCGTTTAGGCCCTTGGTAGAATACATGGTCACTAATGGACTACGCGTCCTGTTATCTGATAAGGAAGGACATTTTGTAGTGTTGCCAGATGGCCAGTACAACGAAAAGGCCAGGGCAGCTATTGAGAAAAATTTTAGACCGGTGCAAGTCGCCCTGAAGAAAACCAGAGATAGAGCAAAAAATCTGTGTGAGCGGCTAGCGTTAACCCAGTTAGCCGCAAGAGTTGGGAAAGCAGAGCGCTTACACCTCGAGGTCTTCTTCAGCGTAAAAACACATAAAGAGGCCTGTCCATTTCGAGCCATTGTCACAGAAAAGGGAGCGTGGCAAAAGCAAGTTGCTTTCTATCTTCAAAAACAACTGTCCGCCCTAAGCATTAGAGACCCCTTCAGGGTTGCCAACTCTGAGGAGATAGTGGAATATCTCCGATTAGGGGGTCCTGAGAAGAGAACCGCTTTCAGCATTGACGTGGAGAATCTTTTTTACTCCTTGCCACACGACCAGCTACTGACCTCGGTGAAGGATTGTATAGAAGCTAATGGAGAGCTCGCTTTCCGAAGTTCCAGCGGAGTACCCATTGAGAGCTTTATGGAGCTTCTACAGTTCTACCTGAAGTCTATGATAGTTGGGTGGCGGGATGGGTGCTATCTGCAGAAGTCAGGAGTCTGTATCGGTTCCTGCGTTGCCCCAGTCCTTAGTGACATCTACTTGGGAGCAGTGGACTGTGTGATAGAAAGTGCGCTTGAAGGTAAAAATGTGAACAAGGTCGCCAGGTATGTTGACGACTTCCTGGTAATTCTTCAAGATGACGAACGTATGAACATACAAGTAGCAGACATTATGGAGACCTTTGCTGAGTACGGAGGCGGCCTTAAGTTTACATTTGAGGTGCCCAAAGAAAACATACTTCAGTACCTGGATCTTTCACTCCACCTGGGGGACACCCATGTTTGTTGGTCGTACAGCCCACGTTCCAAGAAAGCCATTCTAGACTACGGCTCGGCGCACTCAAAAATCATCAAGAGGGGCATAGCTCTAACGTGTCTGGGCTCGGCACTAAGGAAGTCTTGTCGCCATACTATGTCAGCCAGCTTCACCACGCAAGTAGAGAGGCTAACAAAAGCCGGCTATTCGTCAGCCCTACTGGTGGATGTGGCGAACGCTCTGGTCAAGAAGGCAAAAGGCTTCCAGTCCAACAAGACCAGTGTCAAGCAAACAAGGCCAGTTGTAATACCGTACCTTCACAGGATGTCCCATAATTTAAAGAACGTCGCAAGCCGCTATGGGGTCAGAGTAGTTTTTTCAGCACCACAAAAAATGAGCCAAATTTGCAATAGAGTGAATGCGCATGCTGAGGGTACCACAAAACCCACGTGCACCAAGAAGCATGCAAACGAATTCCTACCATGCGCTTCGGGCGTCGTGTATAAGATACCTCTTTCGTGTGGCAAGAGCTACATAGGCCAAACGGGCAGATGCCTCAATGACCGCCTCCGGGAGCATGATTACTCCTTGAAGGCTACAGTGGGCGGAAATCTTCCTCTCCATTGCAGGGAATGCACATGCAGACCATTATTCCGTGAGACCAACATCCTGGGGAAGAACAAAGACAAATTGACCCGCGAGGTATTGGAGGCCTTCTACATCCTTCGCGAGGACAGGAACTGTATTAGCGTTGAATCCGTTACACTAACAAACAAGGAAAGGAAATTCCTTGAACAAACAATGAAGGGCCCGCACGAGCCTGGATGAACTAGCCGCTATCATTCACGGGGCTGTGGCAGGTGCACGAGTCCGCGGCGGATTATTTAGGTGTTTTCTTTCTCTTCCATTTTTATTACTAAACGTAGTTGTGAGTAGCGCTCTTTTCTGTCTTGTCCTTCTTCTTCCTACCTTGTGCGCTAAATACCTCAATATGTTAGCTGGTACACCCTGCATATAATATGCATTAACGTTCCGGCCGACAGCTGGTTACGTTGCTGCTTCGAAGAGTCGTCAACCTAAATGTTGTTTAGCTGAACTCCACTTCGTTGAATTGCATTTGAGCAATCAGCGAGGAAGCTTGCAACTCCTAATCTCCACATTCTGTCACGTCGGTACACTACTATAACCTGACCTCAACTCAAGCTTGTGAATTTTACCCAAAACACAAATCTATGGTATGTGCAATACAGTCAAATCAATAATTCTTTAGTTCTTTGTGTATGTAATTAAGGCTTGTTCACACATTTCTGTTTGACCAAAGTCGACTGTGCTACCACTGGTTGCGACGGTTTACGATGAAATAATAGGCTGGCGCCATCTATTGGGTAACTCTGGAATGTGTTCGAAGATCTGCATATATTTTATGCATCATTAGGGTTCCAAGGCTTTTTCATAGATAGCGCAGGTGCAGCTACGCAACAGTCGCAGCGCATTCGATCGCACAGTCAAAAGTAAGTGTGTGAACCAGCTTTTAGCGCAGACTCCTGCCGCCGAGATTTCCGCCCCTTGGCACCATCGTAGCTATGGCAGAAAACAGTAGTACATCGATGATTGACGATTCGGATTAACAGCATTGTTCACCAAGCACTTTCTGCTAGATGTCGGTTATCCGACGTTTTCCACTTGCCTCGTCGCCTGTTCCCGGTGTATGTGACTAGACTCTTCGTCGATGTTTGCCGGCCAAAGCACAGCCATCTGGTCGATGGACCAGCGGAAAGGTTGCTTCTGGAGATTTTGCACAAAAGACGATACGGTGTTAGCACTTCAACTTGTACTTTGAAAAGGTAATTTGTTAGTTACTTTCAGAACAAAAGTATCGAAGTTACTGTTACAGTTACCACAACAGAAAAAAGTAGCTCGTTGCAGTTACTTTAAAAATGTGACGGCATTATGTCTTAGTTACTTTCCCATAACAAGTGCATAAAGATTACTAGGTTTCTCCACGTCACTTTCAAACGTGGCTATATCTGGGCCACAACTCGTGAGAAACTAGATAGTTGCAAGTTAGCCCAAGGCGAGCATACGACACTCAGAATGTCGGAACGCATAATTTCGGAAGTGCAAGGAATGGCTGGATTGTACTCGTTCAACGATATCTTAATCCTAAAGAAACTACAAAATTCCTCGTTACTTCAGAAGAAGTAGCTGAAATACAGCTACGAGTTACATTTATAAAAAAAAGTAACGCGTTACAGTTAGGTTTGTCACCAAAAGAGTTACGATCAGTTACTCACAACACGTTACTACCCAAGACCGGCTATGCGGAGGGGATCGGTGGCCGAGTGGGCTGAAGCGCACACCCAGCTCGACGTGCGTGGAGCGAAAGCTCGCGCTGCAGAACCCAGGGATCCTGTGTTCGAGCCCCACCCCTGCCCGTTTCGATCTGGATGAGCATCGTACCGGCGTGCGGTCGTGTATCACTACTGCGTGAACATGTTAAAGACCCCAGGTTAGCAGTCGTATTGCACTGGCAAAATTGCTCATCTACAGTGTAAACCTGTGTCGCCCCTACTGGCAGACCAACCTTACGCTGTATAAATCACTAAAAATGTCCAATTTGACTTTTTGACCGGCTATGCGGCACTCACGTGGCCGGGGCTCGCTTGGGTCATGGACACGAACATTGACGGGGAGCACGAGGGCAGAGTGAGTTGCGCCGGCTCCACATCGAAGGGGGTCCACTCCCATTCTGGCTTGGTGGGGGTGGCGGGCAGGGAGGGCTCCTCCCGTACCTGGCTCGAGCTCGGCAGAGACTCCGAGTCTGCGTCGGTGGCGGTGCTAGAAAGCACGCACGCTCCGCTCCTGGCAGACGGCCTGGCTGCATTGCTGCGCCGCCAGAAAAGGGGAATGTTGTCTACGGGCGCAGTTCTGCTCACACGCCGTACAACCGCTTATACACAGCACGGAAGACACTGTGTTCGCTGTGGACGTGAGAATGGAATCGTCTGCGGACGGTGCATGTTCAAAGCATCTTTGTGTCATATGTACGTCTGCAGACAGTTTTTGTGTGACCAATGAGACGGGACTGTCAAGAAGAAACACAGCTCAAACTGCAGACTGTCTTTTTGTATGATGTATTACCAGTGTGACCTCGCGGCCTTAGAAACGTCTGTATCCTCTGGGGAAAACCACTGCTTGCTACCCTTCCGTTGGTCACGACCGTACAGTACTCTCTAGGTCGTCGGCCCAACTTTAAAGGTTGACCAATTAATAAATTGAATAAAAGATTTTTTTTTTAAATGTCTGAGGTTTTTTTGCACGCAGGTCTCTTCAGGCCATTTCGTGAGCCGAAGATTTGCAAAATAAACACACTTTCGATCGACCAATCAATCGACCTCTGAAAATTGGGCCGAGGACCTAGAAACTGCATTGTACGTCGCTCATGGTCCACTCATAGTATATGTGATTAAGCTTGCTTTTTTTTTTTTGCTTATTTAGTAGAAATTAAATATGGAGGTGTTGTGTATTTATGTTTACAGCTCACACTGCAGAACCCAGGGACCCTGGGTTCTGCATCCCTTCCTGCCAGTTTCGATCTGGATGAGCACATATGTACCGGCGTGCAGTCGTGCATCGCTACTACGTGACGCACATTTAAAGAACCCCTGGCTAGCAGTCGTGCTGCACTGGTTAAATTTCTAATCTTGCGGTGTGCAACAGTATTGCCATACTCTGGCAGACTCAACACACGCTGTTTGAACACGTACGTCTAATTTCTGCTTTGTATTCCCGCTTTTATGTTTCGCTGGCTCGTATTTATGTTCGTCTTGAATGCAGTACTGGCTTTCGTTTTACGAAGACGGGAGTTTATCGAGCGTCGCCATCAGGGGCAGATTTAGAAGGGGGGTCCGGATGGTCCTGACCCCCTTCTTGAATTCTGCATGCGTAAAGATTTAGGGCGTGCAAACGAGAAAGGGGGCGGATCTTAAACATATGATACGCTGACCAACACCTGACCCCTCCCTCAAGAAATACCTGCGTCCGCCCCTGGTCGCCATATCTTTGCATTCCAAGAATTTTGTACGCTTTCCTCTACTAGCTGTCCGTAACCGTTTATGACATGGTATAGCATTTTCTTATATATTTCTTATTTTCTTATAATTATAAGCCACCGTACACTTTCCGCTTGCCAGATGGGGTGCTTATGACAGCGTCCAACAGGTCGGTCGGTGCCTTTGAAAGCTCGGCCTTCGAACGGTACACAAAGGGCCGCGACAGAAACGAGGTCCCGGCGTACGAGACACATTGAATGACGCCCATAATAACGCGTTATCGTTGTGAACGTCGCATGAATGTTGTAAATTTACTCACCAAACGATAGAGTCTCCAGAATCAGTCATTTGAACCGAGAAGTGCGAAGCGAGGAAGGCGGTTAGAGAAAATAACCCCAGTTTGAGATCGGGGGCGGACGTTTTCAAGGAGGGGTCTGACACCCGGCACTTCGATGTGGCAAACTCAAAAGCGCTCGGTGTGCGTTCTGCCCCTCAGTTTTTGCGCTTTATAAGACGAACCCCAACAAACTCGACGAAAAAGAGCGTGCCGGGACTTTTAAATAACGCGGCCAATGAGCTTGCTTGAACGTTTGGGCAGTTTGGGTGCGTTCGTTTGGTCGCATTTAGCGAGCAGGGCAGGAAAGAGCGGAAAAAAGGGGAAAAAGCATAGAGTAGGAAGGAAAGATGCGTATATATGTCGTACCTGAACTTATAATTAATTAATTTGTGTCTGCTCTAAAATGGGCCGATTAATATTTGAATTAATTGTAGAAATGTCTAATCATGAAATGTTTATTTGTCTGTTAAGAGTTAAAACATTAAACTCGAACCCCCTTTAAAAAAGTATAATCGAACACCATTTAATAAGTCACGTGACTATAATTTTTATTGGGGCGGGAAATAGTTATATTTTTTTTAATTTATAAAATTATTTTATTGTTTTAATTACATGTTAATCGATTACGAACTTGTTTCTTTTATTTTGGTTTGACGGTTTCGACACGGCACAGTACAGATGGCGTTAGCCATACCTCAAACAAATGCAAACAAACAAAAAATAAATAAATAACGGCGCGAGCTCGCGCCATTGCGCCTCTTCTGTCAGAAACATCGTTATAAATGCCGGAACCCCGAACCATGGTCCAAACTGCTCCACCTTTCCATATGGCGAACGCTGGTGAAGATAGGGAGCTCCTGGCCAAAGAAGTGTTTGAAGGTAACCTCTCTTCTTCCGCTGTTCCTGCGCCATAACAGCGTCTGCTCAACGGGAACCCTGAAGCAGACGATCTCGATTCAGACAAAATCTCGCGCATGTTGTGACGCTGCAACGCTTGGCACTTCTAATCGCAGTTCTGCAAGAAATGTCCCAACTTCTGAACACCGGACTGAGTCCCGAAGCGTTGGCCGTCTGCGTTCAACTATGCGAGCGCGGCGCCGCTGATCCGAGGAGTCTGGCGAACCTCGTCAACGGCCTTCGGACGAATACTGCTACTACGCTCAACGGCAATTCTTCTGCTAACACGGTAACACCTTACTGCTACACGTTAAGAATATAAATACGGTGAAGCCTTCGGACACCACCCTTTCCCAAGACATTTCTCACAACTGGTAGAAGTGTCTTGGCAAACCCCGCTCCGAACCTTCGAGCAAAGGTGCTTGCGATGTTGAGAAGACTGCGTCGTACTCCACTTGTATATATCATCTCATAATCATCATCACTAGACGTGGCACCACAAGCTTCCATGGTACGGACAGTCGCCGGTGCCACGGCTCTCCTAAGCCAATAAAGATTATGATTACGATCAGGACAATTGGTTCTCCCACAAAGCCTTCCACTCTTTTCATTATAGCAGAGCCAACGCGGGAGAGGAGGAAACGGCCAATCATTCACCGATTGTACACTGGGAAGTTATCTCATTTTCAATTCACTGGACAATTGGCCCTCTCCTCCCCCCTCCCTTCTTTTACAACTCCTACACACACACATTCAATTCACTGGGAAGTTCTTTATTGTTTGAGGCAAGAACGGGATTTTTGAAGAGGAGGACATGTATGGCTAAATTTCAGGAGACAGACATATTATGTGCATCCATGCCATAACGAGATCGAAACGCTAGAGCACTTGGTTTTAAAGTGCATAGGGCTTCGCCCTGCCTTCCCTGAGGGGTAACAAATTTGGCGACGATGGAAGGATGGAAGAGAAAAGGATTACAGTCGCAAAGGGGCAATTAGAAGATTGGTGGAAATGATCTAAGGAAAATCGAATGATGTGCAACTAACTAAAACAGCTGGGGATGGGCGGGACAAAGGCGTTAACCCCTGTGCTGGGGCAACGCCGCCAAGGTTTGACCAGAAGAAAACTGGCGACTCCCACGCCGTGGGGAAAAGGCTGATGGTGATGTTTTTTCTTTTTTTGCCTGATCTGCCCAAGGTCATCCTAGTGATCATCCCATACTGGCTGGTGATAGGGGTAGAAAATTGGTTTAGAAGGGCGGGAGGAATCGCGTTTCTTTTTAGACTTGCGCTAGGTGGTGCAAGCTACCGTCCGTTACAAAGATTATAGCCATTAACATCCATCCGTTCATGGCGAGCAGGGAGCTTCGTTAAAGGGTCCTCTCCTGCTACTCTAAACCTATAACAGACTAGAGTCGCTGACAGGATGAGAACGACAGCGTGTCGCTTTCGGATTGCCAACCTCCAGCTCGCGCTTCTTGACCATTCCACCAAAGGTTCTGGGTGGCGCCACTTTATCGACTGCAGTGCCATCTACATACATCCAAACATTTCAATGGAATCGGGGTAAAAGAGGGAAAGGGCAATCACCCAAACAAACCGGCCGTCCTCCTTGGGCGTTTCAACTGATTCGGTGGTGTATAAAGGTGCATTCACACCGGTGATGTGGAGCACTCGCACGATGCAACTAGATCACATCGCAAAAAATTCCGATGGTCACACTGGCACATGCAATCAGCAAGTTGCTTCTCAAGAACTCTTGCACCGAACGCCGCCGATTGGCTCAGTCGCTCCGCGACTAGATTGCATCGTAAAAAGTCTGATCAGCCAGCGACTGCTCAAAACGCGTTGCTTTTTTTTCTCTAGATGGTCGCTTTTGCAACGAGTTATCGTGCGAGTGCTGCACATGACAAAGGCTGCGTGTTTAGCAAGAGAACGATAGCGGCCATAAGAGAGGGAGGTGAACAGGAGACGACACGCTCAGCGCTGGGAAAAGCACAGCGGTTGACTAAGAAATTAAACACCTTGCAATGACACACAACCAGACGGCCACGATTATGGGTTGAACCAAGGCAGGGCACATGCAGGGCGTTTCCAGCAACAGCCGCTCCGGCGCCAAGGCTGTGGTCGTACTTGAGCTGTGCGTGCATACTCGAGGCTCACGAGAAGTTGTCGAAGATAGGAGGCACGTGCTGGAGGCAAGGCAACTGAAACTCCCCCCCACCGTGATCATCCTGTCAGCTACCCTTGTGTGAAAATGGCCCACTAAGAAGGTAGCTGCAATTTTGATAGTGCATTTTTTTTTTCTTCTTTTAAGCAAGTCTTTTTGTTTTGGAAAAGATAGGCATTATGACAGTGCCCTAGCGAGGGATTTGGGGCTTACCCCCCTCCCCCTCAAAACACAGGAGTGTACAAAAAACATATGCAAATTTTCCGGAAAACAAAAAGTGGTGCACGACGTTGCACAAGTGGTTTATGGACGACAAACTGTTTACAGAAGTAATAGGGGCTCACCATGCATGCATAGGCATTCTCCAAATGGCAGAGTACCTACCTTCATAGAAGGCACTACCACTTCAGTACATACCATGCTGCATGCTCAATGCTGTCAGCCATTTTTCTTTCAACCAAGTGTGAACTCGCCCGTCTAATTTGGTTCCATTCTTAGGTTGTAAAACCTCATTTCCAAAACTATTGAGATGTACACAGGCGTATCAAAACCACCCTTATCAGTTTTTTGGCAGTTCCCTCATTTAATTTGATTGAAATGATTACTTATGTGCACATCTGGATTGTTTACTCTGCAAGACCTCGAAAAGACAATGAAAACATCCTCGTCATAACAAAGCTATAAGCGGAGCATGTGAGACATTTGCCGACCCTCAATTATTTACACAGAAAAGAAAAGCGCATTTTCAGAAGTGGCTTAACAAAGTAAAGTCCATTGCTAAAAAAAAAAAAATAATAAACAGTCTTGGTGGGGGACGCGTGTCAACAAAATTAATTTTACGCTAAAAAGAAAAATTTTAGGAGCAATATTGACGGCGCGAGACGCGATTTAGTTGGTAGTCACCCCCTTTCAACTCGTTTTCTGTCTCGACATTTCGGGTGCATGGAGGAGAGGCGGATCGGCTTCGTCTTCACGTTGAGGTGGAAAGGGCGAATGACCATCTCGTTGACGTCGAAAGAGCGAATGACCATTCAGTGTCGTCATGGACTTTGCGTGCAGAATTTTGAATAAATCTCTCGCTTTCATAATTGCTGAAAAAGAACTTTTTTTTTCGCTTAAAACTTGTTTTTTGACAGGTTTAAAAAAATATTTTTTTGCTTTTCAAGGGCCTTTTAGGAATTGTAGCCTTGCTTAGAAGGCCCAAAGCAGAAGCAAAAATGACAGTAGTCCAGTTTTTAACTCATAATTGTGCATACTCCCGCAATAGAATGACATTCGTCTTTTTTTTCTTGGATTCCAGCGACGGCAGGAGCACGCGGAGCGGTAAAGCCGAATCGACACCCACAGAGATCATCTCACCGTGCCAAACAGCCTCATGCAATAAAGATGACTGCTTCAGTGGATTTCCATGTTACGAGGTACGACGCTTCGAACGCGTCAACTGGTGCTTTTAGTGTTCAACACCGCCCATGCATCGAAAGCTGTCTTGAAGTGGCAACAAATTACGTCGCAGGAGCTGGCGCGGCATGGCGTCGGATGCTGCAACCCTCACGTTGGCTGTTATAGTTCCGCAAAAAATTACATACTAGCTAACGCAGGCGTCGCTGTTGCTGCAGCATTCTAACTCGTGGCCGCCGAAGTTTCCATAGACTGTCAGGCTGGAGAGGACCCACAGCAAAGCAGGCCTCTGCCGCACTCACCTCCGACACCATACGGGCCGCCGCCAGGATCACGACACCCAGCGGCACGACGACGCGAGTGTGAAGTCGTTTAACAGAAATCGAGCGAGCACAAATGAGGACTTGGTAAACATAGCAGTCGGCGATCGAGGTCCACTAAACGAGCTCTGGGAGTATCAACACTCCCCGAACGTCTCGTGGGTGCCGCCATTTTGATGCCAAGTTCAGAGCGGATGCGATCGACGATAGTTACAATTAGAAAACGTGACCTCCGGAAGCTTAGCTCATTTGGTGAATTTCGGCGGGCGCCACGAACGAGCCAAAGAGACAGTCCCTCCTCGGGGCAGACGGCATCACTCTATCATCTTGCAAGTTTATTGGACAGGAGCGCTTTGGGAGGGGAGGGAAAACAGTTATACAGTGGTGCCGCGGCCTCTCAATCCGTCCCGCCGACGCTCGATCACCGCGTTGCATTCCGTCGTATACGGCGTTTTACAGTTAGTTGGTGCGCAGTTGATAGTCTCCGTTTTGCGTGATGTAGCGGACCCAGGGGAGTGCTTGGTACCCGCTCTTCTCTATGATCTTGAGGTACCGCACCTGAAGGAGAAAGAGAACGACGGCTGCGTTGTGAATTGCATCTCGAGTGCAGGGTGCGTTGTTGTGTCGGGTCCTACCTACGGGGCAATTCGTTTTATTCAGGCATTAACCCCTTGCCTACTAATGACGAGTGTCACTCTGCCACTCTTTACGGACCATAAAGCCCGACCACGAGCGTGACTCAAGTTTCAGTTTTGGCGCTTGTTTAGCGTGCCCTCCGGCAGATGGCAGCACCACTCTTGTTGTTACACTTACCTTAGGTTGTTAGCTCGTTTGTGTTGCTGTTTGACGGAAAGAAAGCACTCCATTGAGCCAAAGAAAAAAGTGCACGCTGGGTAAGAGTTTGCGCCAAAACAACATGGTTTCGGCGCAGATGTCCCCTTTAGCCGACGAAAAGATCCAGAAACTTTTTTTTTAGGAGTGAACGCTCAAGCATATGTAATGACAAATCATGCAGTTTTTTCAATTAGTTGGAATCGGATAGTTTGATGGACAGTGATCGGATGCAAATCGTTTTCATCACTTCAATTAAGGTGGCACTCCACCTTTCTTGATGTTTTCAGTGTTATCACACTGTGAAGAACTATATTGATGAAGACCAGAAGATCAGAAGTTCTGATTAGGAAGAAGGTACCACACCTGAAAGTCAAGGAAATGCCTGTCCTTTTTGATGAAAATTGCCCATTTAAAATTAAATTTTTCTGTACATTCCTTGAAAAAAAAAAAAAAAAATGAGTAGGCAAGTCATATTGAATGGGTTAAACAGAGAAAAAAGACGAAGGACCAGTAAAGGGAAAGACACAGCGCTGTGTTTGTGTGTTTCCTTTTACTGGTCCTTCGTCTTTTTGCATTGTTTTAACCTACTCAATATGACCAAAAACCAACTCACCCAACTTTACACCTTGTTGGAGTAGGCAAGGGCTAACTTGTTGAGGCAGGTAGACCGGTTCCTTTACCGAGTACTTCTTAGTTTATCATGAAACTATGACTGTTGTTATAGTCCCTAACAGAGCAAGAACGACATGCCCTGCCATTCTTAGTCCATCAGCAACTATAGTCCCTCTCCAGGAAAGGCACACGCGACGTCGGCAGACTTGCCTGAATGCCCGAAGTGGTGAAGTAGGGGATCTCGAACTTGACTTGGATGGGTGCCCGGCCCTCCGTCTCTTCGCTCTCCACGCTGGGAAGGCCAAAGTGCGCCCTCATGAGGTACTCCTTGCCACCCTGCGCAACACGCAAACAAACGAAACGTCGGGCCGACCGCACCTTCCGAAGAGATCCCCCCGGCTTAGACGTTCCCTCAAATGCAACGAAGACCCGATGGCACTAGTACGCAGTTCCTACCCTGCTATGAGCTAGCTCGCACTCCCGATGCTCGAGAGGAAGTGGGAGATGCGAAGCGTGCGTCTCCCCGTTTTCCTCTGAACACTAGAACCACGTTACGTGAAAGTCACAGGCCACCTAGTTTGTTCACCCTTCAAAGCAATGTGCCAAAGCAAAAGAAAAAATTAAGATCACTACTGTGGTCAAAGCTTCAACTGGCTGCGCTGACGCGCCAAGCATTTGGACCTATGGTCCGTTTCGTGTGCAGCGAACAACACCGTCAAAGCTACGGGCGCATTGCTCGACCTAGCATTCATTTTCGCGGGGGTGCATCCAAGTGAAGGATGATTCACGCATTTGCATTCAAGTGTACTCGAGTGCATTACGTTCCCTCATAAACGCGTACGACGAGGGAACAAATTCGCACACCGGTGCCACCTGTCAAGTAGTTCTGGAACCACTTTCGGTCTCCGTATGACCGTACTGAAGTGTTGCACGGTATCGGCAAGTTCAAACCTATGCAGTACCTATAAGAAATAGTCACTACAACATTGTCGTAATTGTACCCGTTATACCCGTCGGCGGCCCAAGCACCTATCCAGGGGGGGGGAAGCCCCCCCCCCCCTTTTTTGAAACAAAATCCTGGCTACATGCCTGCGGCGGCCGTTTCTCAAAGACCCAAAAATTTGACGGAAAGGATGACAACCAATCCCACTCCACACTTCTTCCAGCGAGCGCAGCGGTGTGCCATGACAAAGTTGCACATTCCAACGTCGTAAATTAGGGCGGCCACCGAGGAACCACGGAGCGGCGACTGGCGACTCACCGGAAACGACTTGATACTCCAGACCACCGCACTCTGCTCGGGAGCGTACTTGACGTTGCCGACCGTCGTCTTGAACTTGGGAGTGTCGGCGTCTGTCGGTACGGGAATGACTATCTCCACGTTGTTTGCTGTCGAACGTCGCTTGAACTGGCTCTTTGCCTGCGCCCGAGTGGTGGTTGCAAGTATTGAGGCCTGTTCACACGCTTGCGCTCGACTACGACCGAATGAGACGAGACCGGTTTTTAAGCCTCTTGGGACGGCTTACGACATGCTGCATTGCCGCACAGCCGGTCGTAAGCTGTTGCAAGAGGCTTAGAAACCGGTCTTGTTGCACTCGATTATAGTCAGCTGCGAGTGTCTGAAAGGCGTTTAGAGAGAAACGAGAGCCCAAAATACGTCGTTTGGCTGCAGAAACGAGCTATGCATTGCCGAACGCTGAGTTTCCGCCCAAATGTGGTGCCAGCGGTCTGGTTCAGATGCCAAAGTTTTAGAACTGACCAGTTTACCTAGAAGTTTTTTTCTTATTTCCTTATCGAAAACTTTCTTAGATTTTCGATGGGGAAACGGGGCTCGTTCCGACGCCGTTCGTCTCCGTGCATACATGGGCTTTGTCGGTTTCCGTTTATCCGCCGGAAACTTCCGAAAATCGCTCGCAGCTTTTGAATAAGATGACGAAACGTTCCAAAACTTCGGCATCTGGTGCATCAAACTCTGCAGCATCGAGCTCTGCAGCATCGAGCTCTGCAGCATCGAGCTCTGCAGCATCGAGCTCTGCAGCATCGAGCTCTGCAGCATCGAGCTCTGCAGCATCAAGCTCTGCAGCATCGAGCTCTGCAGCATCGAGCTCTGCAGCATCGAGCTGCAGAGCAACCTGCAGCAGAACGGGTGTCTGCCACATTCTCCGCCGATGCTGCAACACCAACAAGATGGCGACCAGCGACAGCGCGACACTTCTATGACGTCACCAAGCGGAAATCGAGGGAACAGCTTTTTTTTATGCGGTAAACATTGGTTGGAGACGCATTCCAGGCACAACTTTTACGGCGGAAAAGAACACTTTTTTTTGGGAACTTTTACACCGCAAGTGAGCAAATTAGTTTGAGCCCACACACATGAAATGAGCTGCGTGCACGCGCACGTTTGGGTTGCATTTGTCTCGGGTGTTGCAGCCAAGGACCCACCCGATTGGCTTCGTACGCCACGAGCCTTCACATGCAGGCTCCTTCGAAACTCGGTTCAGAAGGTTGCTCTAGCGAGAACAGACAGGCAAAAACAATCGCACAAAGCAACTATGCCAAGCTTCGCATAAAAAAAAAAAATTATTGCAGCTCGGCGACCGTTGGAACTTCGCTGGGGCACCCCTTTGAGACTGGTTGTGCATCCCCCTCCCCTCACCTTGACCATGTACTCCACTCTGCTGTGGGCGTGGCGCTCGATGACCGACTCTATCCAGATGAGCGGCTTGACCTGCAACGTTTTCAGAGGCAGATGTCGGCGACGCGCACCGGGCTGGTGAGGCCAGGGCCACTATGATAACTGACACTGTGAGAACGGCAGAATGCACTACGTGTGTATCGACGTGCTCCGGCTGCGCGCGCGTGCTCAAAATGCCGGAGCGTTGCCGGATGTGGGAAGCTCGCGTTGGAGGCGGGTCAACTAAAGCTTATCCCATCCATTCTCACTGTGTCGGCGACTATAAATAGTCCACATTTCAGAGTAACGACACCTCCGAAGACATAAGTCGCATTTTTTAACCTTAATTGTTGCCAATGGACGCCATTTTGTCGGACATTGTTCGTGGCTCTAAGGAGCCCCTGACGGTATTCAGGGGACTCTAAGGAGCCCCTGACGTGACTCTAAGGAGCTCCTGACGGTATTCAGGGGACGCCTTAAGGGTCCTCTGGAGAATCTTTCAGGGTACTCTGGGGGACCCCTCAAGAACCCACAGGTTCCTAGGAACCCGCTTTGAGTACCCATGGAAGCATGACT